TTTGTACATGTTCGGTGTGAAGTACCCATCCCTAGTATCCAGGTGGAAAAGGTCTAGAAAGCTGTAGGGAAGGTGAGTCTGGAGCTCAGGAAAAAAGATCAGGATACAAGGCACATTTTTGGGAGTTATCAGTAAGGATATTGGTAAGGGTATAATTGAAGGAAAAAGTGGTCTGGGGACAGAATCTTAAGGAAACCCTGGGAGTAGGAGAAAAAAGAGCCAGTTAGGGAAACTGAGGCCTAGTTTCAGGTTATCCAGTAGGAGTGTTGGAACACATCCTCTGTAGATGAGGGGGAACTACTAAATACTTGGATCACAAGTCATTTCCTGGTTAAAGATTTAAGTGAGTCAGATTCTCTGACTGTTGGGTTTCTCTCAATGTGGGTTTGCAAGGAAGGTTGGGACTGATAGAGCTGAGTGGTGGGTGGGTGGGAGGTGGCCTGGGAGAGCTCCTAACCTCTTGGTTGCTTTTGGTATTCTTTCTGTAGCCTTTCCATGGCCTGTGCATTGTGAAGCTAGCTGTCTTCTTTAGACTGTGAAGTTGTTTTGTTCATGCCAGTATCAGGATGTTAGGGAAGGGTATTACGTATACCTCTTAGTTGATGAAATGGATGAAATGAAATACCTGTATTAAATGACAACAATTGGTAGATTGAATGTCTCCTACCTCTTGGTTCTATTACTTTCCTCTTCCTTTTTTTTTTTTTTCTTGGCTCCAGTTAGATAGGGGAAAGTCCATGATGTTGAAATTTTATTTCTTGTGAACAAGGAAGAATTAGGAAATTGAGGTGGCAGGAAAGCTTATTATAAAAAAATAGTTACTTCTTGTTCTATCCCAAATGGACTAAATTATTAAATCAACGAGGACCATTCTAGTAAGCCTGTGTGGAGATGAGTTTCCTGTCTGTTCCATTAGGTATAAGAAGACATTCTTATAGAAATGCTTTTGGAGGAGAGTATTTATGGATTTTGTGCCAAGATTAAAGAGAGTCAGACTAGGAGGAACAAATGAGCAGGATATTTCTACCTCATTGTGGTGGGATGGGGCTCAGAATAAATTGGCTTTGCTTCTGAGCTCCAGCATTAGCTGGTTCTGTAATCTTGGATTACTCATTTAATGATTTCAGCCTCAGTTTCCTCATCTGTAAAACGTTGAGGGTAAACTAAATTCCTCTCTAAAAATGTTTTGAGTTATGACCAAGGTAATGTTAGATTCCTAATCCACTGTGTCTAATGTTGAGAATGATCAGTTCTCTATTGCTAGGAAGGAGGGATAAAACGTTTTGGGAGGTTAGAAATCTTGCGTTATTCATGGGATTCTTTAATTGACCTTCAATTAGAAACACAACTGCCATTGCTAGAAGTCTAACCCAAGAATGTTAAGTCCAAGAAAGCTTTTAAGGTATGCACTTTTTTTCCCTACCCCAAATTGCAGACTTTTCTTGAAAAATTCAGGGTAGATAAGGAGGTCACCACAAAGAGAAATGGCTTCTAGGTCTGTGTCTCATGACCTGTGTCTCATGTGTTTAAGATAGATACTCTTCTTGAATAAGCATACGTCCTTATTCTTGCATATTCTTCAATTCTTAAAAGTCCTTCTTTATTCTTTAGTCACTAAAAAACAAAACTTCAATAGTAGCACTGCCCAGAGGAAGGGATAGGAAACAGCAGTGGAATAGGGTGGAAGAGGTGATAGGCTCCTTATAATGTTCTTTTGTTGCATAAGGTGTTCATATCTACAGAGTGGCTTGAGGGAGTACAACTTGTTCTTTGTGTTTGATGCTATATCAAAGAGATGGGAGGAATAAATGTTACAGACATTTGTTACAATTAGAGTTTGAATCTGGGTTTTTTTTAATCCGTATCTTAAGTTTGGACCTGCTGCACCTGGCAGAGATCACATGTAATATTAAATGTCTTTCAGCCAACCTGGCTGGGCTTGCCTTGGCTTGGTAGGGAGGACAGTGACATGGGTTCTGTGTGTTTTGGCCTTTAATCCTGTAGATTGATAGGCTGTTGTTCTGTAGAGGGAGTCTACAGAGTTTGGTGGGGTTTTTTGTTTGCTTGGCGTTTTGTTTTCCTTTTCTCATGTAGACAAATTTCAGACAGCTATTAATAAAATTATTGTTAAACTTTGCAGTTACATTTATAGTTCTCTGATTTTGGCATTTGCCTAGAATATAGGTTAAATATTTCTATCACTAATTTTTAAGAATGTGACTGAATGCTGGTTTTCAGGATCTAACTTCAGTAACAAAGCAGCAAGTCTGTTAGATGTCTTTGAGTCCAACAAAAAAAAAGAACCTTATTTTAAAAATCATTATACATTTCTTGATCTATTTTAATCCATCAATGACGCAGAATCAGAGAATTCATGTGTCCTTAATTTAGAGGTTTTTATGCTTATGTTTTTAGCAGAATTTTCTTCCAAATTATTTCTTAAAGATTAATATGGGAGTTGGCTTAAAGACTGTGGGAGCGATATCCCAGGTATACAGCTTCTGAGCTCCAGCATTAGCTGCTTCTGTAACCTTGGATAACTCACTTAACTGCTGGGGCAGCAGGGTGGGGGGGATACTTAACCTGTGACAAGTTTTAAATTGCAATTAAGTCAGCCAAGGGGTGATTGTGTATAGTCGATGTCATATTAACTCTAGTTTAAAATGTTCTGCAGGAGTTTTTTTAGATACCTATCATAGTTATGCAAGTGCTCATCCATTGTCAGGAGTTGTTAACAGATGATTATCAAGTCTTTACCTACTAGTGGAAACATACAGTAAGGTTGTGTGTGTGTTTCTTACCTCACAAAGAAGTCACTTATGAACCACAATTTAGGTCACTTTAGAGTTTTACTGGAGTCCTTAATTTTTGTGGAGTCCACAAACTTAGTTGTGTTGTGGTTTATGCCTAGAAAAAGAGCACAGTTAGGGGCCCCTGGGTAGCTCAGTTGGTTAAGCGTCTGACTTCTTGATTTTGACTCAGGTCAGGATCTCCTGGGCATCAGGGCTCTATGCTGACAGCAGTGAGCCTGCTTGGAATTCTGTCTCCCTCTCTCTCTGCCCCTCCCTGCTCATTCTCCCTCTCTCTCAAAACAACAACAAAAACATCCTTAAGAGCACAGTTAGAAAACAGCTATTTTAGGGCTCCTGGGTGGCTCATTCGGTTAAGCCTCTGACTTCGGCTCAGGTCATGATCTCACACTTCGTGGGTTCGAGCCCGGCGTTGGACTTTGTGCTGACAGCCGGCTCAGAGCCTGGAGCCTGCTTCTGATTCTGTATCTCCCTCTCTCTCTGACCCTCCCCTGCTCATGCTGCCTCTCTCTCTCCTACTCTCTCAGAAATAAATAAAACGTTAAAAAAAATTTGAAAAAGAAAACAGCTATTTTAGGATTAGATTATGTGTTCTTGACAAATTTCCTTGTTCCCTTCCCCCTCCCCACCCCCGGATTTTAATATTACAGGAAATGTATTTTAAAAGACTTTTGAAGAACGATATTAAATATCTCATTTGTTAACATTTGTAGTATTTGGAAGGAGAAGCTGTCTGCATTAAATGAATTGCTTTAGGAGTTCCATAGTTTACTAATTTCTGCTCTCATAGGTATCTTATTGGTTATTCTGGCTTTAATTCTGCCTGTATAAATGTTTTCTTCTGCCTAGATAACAAGTAAAAGAATTTATGATGTGTGCATTTTACTGAAATGATTCTGCTCAATTAATCAGCATTTGTAGAACTAATTAGTTATCAAACAAAATGTTTGAACCTAAGCTTCAAAACTACATTTATATCGAGGCGCCTGGGTGGCTCAGTAGGTTAAGCGTCCGACTTTGGCTCAGGTCATGACCTCACAGTTCATGGGTTTGAGCCCTGCTTTGAGCCTAGAGCCTGGAGCTTGCTTCAGATTCTACTAGCTCCCTCTCTCTCCCTGACCCTCCTCTGACCACACTCTCTATCTCTCAGAAATAAATAAAACATTTTAAAAAATTTAAAAAAAAAACTACATTTATAAAAATAAGTTTGAGTTGGGTATGTATTGAAGAAAAAAGGTGATGGTTACAGTAGTCTGATTGTCCCTTATTTCGTAAGTAATCGACAAAATAATTACTATCTAGATAACTAAGCATGTAAAACAACATGTGTTGGCATATTTCTCCCAAGGTGTTTAGGCTTGGGATGTTTTCTTCTATATTTTTCTATTTTTATTTGTTTACATCTATCAGGCACTTCTGTTACCTTTAGGAAGTTACCTTTAGTGAGATCCGTCTGTCACAGAGATGCCCATCTATGCCAAAAGCCCTGATAGTTTTGTATGACAGAGATAAACACTAAAAAGTCTTGGCTGAAATTGGGGACAAGAAGTGGTGAGGCAGCCCTGTGTTCTCCTTTTAGGTGAAAAGGTTGATGCCAGACACATAGAGGCACCTGGGAATTGCCAGTATCTCTCAAGTGGTTTTTCTTTAATAAGGAATGAGAAACTGGAGGGGCTTCATTCTAAAATGGAAAGAATTCCTTAATTTTTTTTCATCTGGCCTGGAAGGGAAGGGATTTTTTTGCTTCTGCGAAATTGCTAAGCCCCTTCAGTTCTCTTATCCGGCAACAGTTTCATAAGGGCATGTTCCATAAAATGTACCTTTATTAACATTATTCCAGTTGTTCTCATTTTTCTCTAGCTTTGATGGCTAAGAGGGAAACATTAGTAGAGATGGAACTAAATGCCCAAATGAAGATTAATCCATTTATTCCCACCTGCCCCATCTTTCTGAAAGTGTTTATTGCTGTTTCAGATATACTAGTAATACATATGGGTGTAACAAATTTGAGGCCATATATGATTGTATAGTCCTAATTAGTGGACACTACTGAAATGCTTCGAGGGATAATAGGACTAAAGGGTTGAACCCTTTCATTTGCTGAGAAACTAGAAATAAATCAGTTATAGCTTACCAGCTATTTGAATGGCTGTCTGATTTTTTTTCTGTTGGTGATTCTATATTTTTAAGATCTTAGCAAAGCCATGTCTCAGGATGGTGCTTCTCAGTTCCAAGAAGTCATTCGACAAGAGCTAGAATTATCTGTGAAGAAGGAACTGGAAAAAATACTTACCACAGCACCATCACATGAGTTTGAGGTAAGGACTCTGCAGTGATTCTCTCACTTCTTCCATCCATCTCCATGCTGAGTTGCTATTGCCTCTGTTGATCATTTAGCCTGTAATAAGCACAAAATATAATAGCATTAAAAAAATTACGATTGCTTAACAATTAGGATTTTCAACATTTGCCCACTGTTAAACCATTGTCCTTTCTTCTTTAATTCTAGGAAGTTTCTAAAGTCTAAAAGAATCAGAACAAAAAATTATTTGTTCTGTGTTCTAATATCATTGGGTAGAAAAATGGATACCAGTATTCAGTTAGAATTATCAACCATATATCCTGCTGCATGCCTTTTTCCAGAGAGCCAGTTCTAATAGAACCATGCTACTTTGTCAGCATAGACAGGTATTTTTACTTTTCTGCTTATAAATCAATAGATCCTCCTTTTAATTTTCAAATTTCAGTTTGTACTTAATGTTTTGAGGTTAGCTGTGTTTTGTTACTTTTTCTTGAAGTGAAGGTTAATCTTCACTTAAAAGAAGTAGAAAAAGATATTGGCAAATACATGTAGAGAACCAATTGAAGTTCCCATGAACCAAATGGTGTTGAGTTTACATGACAACTGCTGGGAGATTTGGGTATTATTTGCTTCTATTACTTTAAGTGTGGTTCCTATTAACTTTTGTTCCTCTTTACTTTTAAGCTGGGGACATAAAAAACTCTCTGCTGTACTCCGTATTCTAATAGTGTAAGAATTTAATTGAAAGGTATTTTAAATGTATAATATCTATATTAAAATTAAACATTCTGCTAATTGTAACAAGAACTTCTATTTTCATAGCACACTAAAAAAGACCTTGATGGATTTCGGAAGCTATTTCATAGATTTTTGCAAGAAAAAGGACCTTCTGTGGATTGGGGAAAAATCCAGAGGCCTCCAGAAGATTCGGTAAGTTTTAGATGTAGGAAAATTTAGGAAAATGTAGGAAAATTTAAGGTGATTCAAGACCTGGGCTTAAATTTGGGGGTGAGATACTGTGGAGGACCTGTAAGAACCATCACTTTGCATTTCCTCTTGCCGAAACTACAACCTACTGCTTTCTACTTTTCAGTCCTGCAGAGGACTTAGGAAAGTCTAATCTCGCTATAACACTACCTTATAATTAAAAAATCCCTGAATATGAGGCAGTTCTTTTGCAAAGTACCAAACACACAGTAAGAGCTTCATTTATGTTCTTTTCTTCCTTCTTTCCCCCAAACCATTTGATTTCTGATAGCCTATAGTGTCTTGTACAGATGCTAAGTCACCTACTTAAAGCTCACCTCATGCTTTCAACCCATCTTTGTAGCCATATTTCCCTTGCCTGTTTTTCACATGTTGTATTTCTCTGCTTCTAGACTTCTGTGTATATCATTTCTTTGGAATACTTTGGTCTTTTCACCTATCAAAATCCTGCTCATTCTTTGAGGCTCAATCTAAATGCCTCCACCTCTGTCATCGACCCCTAGCATAAAGCTACTCTGAAGAATTGTAGTGCAGTAGTATCAGAGGTACAAGTCTAGTTTTACTGTTTAGGAGGTTGATGTAAAATGAGAATAAAACCAAGTGATTTATGTACTTTACAGGGATATGAGGCTTCATTAAGAAGCATATGTGGAAACATGTTAAACCATGAAGCATTTTTTCAGATACTAGTGGTTATTTCTGCCATCATGTGGCACTTAGCTGGCATGAGTAGTAGTTGTTTGTATGCATGTATTGTCTTCCTACGAGACCTTGAGGCTGGGGAACCATGTGTCCTAAGCAAATGTTTGTTGAATGAATGATCTAAATGCAGATGATTGTCTAGGGAATAGGTTTTGTTAACGTATTGACCTTTCTTCTCTTTCCTGTCGGCAGTTTTGACCTGGCTGTTTGTAGCACTTTTCTTTCTTTCTTTCTTTTTTTTTTTTTTGTAGCACTTTTCATTTCAGGTGAAAGAGACGAGAGAGTGGAGCAATTTTATGTAGATAGTTTAGCTCTTAAATGTCTACAGTCTTCAATTATCTGTTTTTAAAACAAGGCTGTTTAGAGGAGAGGTTTGGCAAAGTTCTGCCTGAAGACTGTTCCACTGTGTATGTAAAGTTTAATTGGAATGTAATTGCACACATCATCTATATACCATCTATGGTGATTTAAGCTAATGGAGTCCCTTGGATTTTTTCCTGAGAAATCTTAAATGTAGTTCCTGGTTAGGAGTACTTTTCTTTCCAGTGTGTGGAAAATGCTTTTCAGTTCTTAAATTTATTAAAATTATTGATTACATGCTCATTGTAAAAAAACAAAGAAACAACAACTTAAAGAAAATAAAAATCTCACTTAACCGTTCACCTTGAGGAATTTCTCATTTTTGATGTTGAAGTTAAAATTCCTCTTGTCTGTAATGCTTGCCAATTACTCTGTGTGTGTGTGTGTGTGTGTGTGTGTGTGTGTGTGTGTGTGTATACGTGCATGTGTGGAAGTCTACTATGGCCTTGGTGAATGAATTAATGATCTGTTTTTCTGATTATAAGTGTAGAATTAATAATATTATCTCCTGAAAAAGAGTAATAAGAGAATTCTTCTGGATAGTTCTATAGTTTTAAAAAAGGAACTGTTTGTTAGTTCAGTCAGATTTGTTTTTAAATTCAGATTTTTAAAAAAGGTTGAGAATAAGCCTATTCTCAATTTAATAAAAAATTTAGACATTTAAGTAACTCTGATTTTGCCTAGAAGTTTATTCCTTATTGAAGTAACTTCATTCTTCTAATTAATGATGGATCTGGGCATAAAGGTGTAGTTAATTCTTGCATACATGGACTCTTGTTTTTCCTACACAAACTTAATCTTTGGATGATAGAGCCTACTGTGTAGGAAGGCACACAGATTTGTTACTTTTAGTATATTTTCAGGTTCAGGATACTGCTTTGTCAGTGAGACATCTGCCTTTGTATATTTTGAAAAAATACTGTGTTATAACAAATCTTGGCATAAGGATTGCAGGGTGGAGAAGGCAGGGAGGGAGGAATCAGAACCACGGAAGGATTTTTTCAGTTCAGTACTACCATCCCTAACAAGGTTCTGACAAATACTTTCAAGAGGGTGTGTGCCCGTAGTAAGCTTTAGTTACTGATAGGAATGCAGAGTTGATACAGAAAAAGAATAAAAAAATAGAATTCTGGATGTAGTTTCATTTAGTGAAGTCTTTTCTCTGTTTATAGAAGTGTAAGTCTTCATTAAAAATTTTGAAGCATAGATTTTGAGCATCTTTTAAAAAATATAGTTATAATCCCATATGCCCTTAATGTTGAAGGTTTCAGAGGACAGAGGGAAAAGGTAAGTTTGTTCTTTTATGTCCTGAACTTCTTGAGGCCACAAATGTTACACTCTGAATGTTAACAACTTTTGCAAATAGTTATAAGAATATAGATCATGGGACAGTGTTGTTCACCTTGCTTCTCTACATTCTTCCAGCTCCCTTCCTCCCTCCCCCCTTTCCTATAGATTTTCTGTCTCTTGTCATAGAGATTATGCAGAGGTCAGTTTTCCTCTCAAAGCATAACTTTTTTTTTTTTTTTTTTACTACACATAGGTTTTTGTTTTTTAAATAGTTTTTTAAAAAAGTTTATTTATTTTGAGAGAGAAGGAGGGAAAGAGGGAATGAGTAGGGGAGGGGCGGAGAGAGGGAGAGAGAGAATCCCAATCCATGCCATTGGCCTGGAGCCTGATGTGGGGCTCTATCCCACAAACTGAGATCATGGCCTGAGCTGAAACCAAGAGTGAGATGCTTATCCAACTGAACCACCCAGGCGCCTCTGGTTTTTGTTTTTTAAATGCAGGTGATACTTTAGCCTCCTAACCAAGAAGAAATTATTGTGGGAGAATAGTCATTTAGAGTAACATTTCTCACGTCAGCCTTGGGTCAAAGCTGTGCACATAAATGTTGCCATAGTAGAATATCTCTGTTTTTGTATAGGAGTTGGCAGACTACCAGTTGGCTACCTTGTTTCATAAATAAAGTTTTATTGGAACACAGCTGATAGCTGCTGTCATAGGACAATGGCAGAGTCGAATAGTTGGAACTGAGACCCTGTGTCCTATACAACCTAATACATTCCTTCTTGGCCCTTTAGGGAAAAATTTTGCTGAACCCATTTTAGTATACTTTTTGATTACTTCTTTGGCCTTTAGAAAACTGAACTTAAATGCCTTTTTCATTCAGATGATTACTTTTTAATAAAATATTTGTATAAATACTAGATTGAAGGATATACTTACAGATAGCATTGAAATTTTATGTTTTATGAATATACTCTTCTATTGAATACTTCATTTAGCAGTTTAGTTAGTAAGCATATACTTTTTTAAAAAAATTTTATGTTGTGGAAGTGTAGTTGACACATACTGTTAAGTGAGTTTCAGGTGTACAATATAATGATTCTTGACAATTTTATACATTATGCTATGCTCACTACAAGTGTTACCATCTGTTCCCATATAGCACTATTACAGTACCATTGCCTATATTCCCTGTGCTGTACCTTTTATTCTTGTAACTTACTCATTCTATAACTGGAAGCCTGTATCTCCTATTCCCCTTCCCCTAATGTGCCATCCCCCTCCCCTCTGGTAACCATTAGTTTGTTCTGCACATATATGTTTTTTGAAAAGCCGATTGAGTCCATATTTTATTGAATTCTGGCTAAAACAAAAAACCCTCAATTTAAGGAGTTATGGCATGGATAATTCTCTGTTCCAATTTTGTGAATGTTAAGTACATAAATGTTATAATCAAGATATACCTTGATATTTAGCTACATAAATAAAAGAAATTTTTAAAAAACTGTATTAAGGTCCATGTTTTGGATTAGAGCAAGGAAGGACCAGTCAACATGTGCAACTTCATTTGACCATTTCATTCTTTTCTAGAGAGGCTGTTAGTGTCTTGTTCCTGAACAAACTTAATATTTGAGTTTATATATTGGATGTAGAGGGATGGGAGCTAAAAAGAAATAAGGAGATAATAGAGTCTGCTCAAGAAGATAGTACTGTGGCTAACAGGTTATTTTGAGCTCTAACTTAAAGCCTGTTATCACTTGGCCAACAGTGATCTCTGTTGATAATAAGGTACATTCTCATTTATGAGAAAATGTTCTCTAAAAACGGCTTTTTCAATTAGATCAGAACACAGCATCTTGACTTGATTGTCATTGTTCTTGTTTTAAAGTCTCCCAAAGGGTGAGGATGTATTTGTGAATGGGGAGGAGTTATATAGGGTCATCTCTCTCTCTCTCTTTTTTAATGGAAAGAATTGGCATGAAGAATATCATAGAATGTTGAATAAATTCAGCAGATTTTTTGTTTTGCTCCATAAAATAATTGAGAGTTTTTCTTAGTCTATCAGTACAAAACATTAAAATGTGCATGTTTAAATGGTAAGGCATTCTGAGAAATTTACTGTAAGTGTGTGGAGTAAAAACACAGTTTTTTTTTTTAATGGAAGATGAACCATAGTCTATTGTGCAACTAATGTTGCCTGGAGCCTGTCTTCGGGTTCTGTGTCTCCCTCTCTCTCTGACCCTCCCCTGCTCATGCTATCTCTATCTCTGTCTCAAAAATAAAACATTAAAAAAAAAATGAAATGTGTTTCTTCTTAAACTCTTGTAGGGCTCTAGTTCCCACTTTACCATTTCCCTTAAACACATAAGCTGAGCAAATATGTATCTTTCTAAAATTCTGTCTTTTCCTTCATTCAGACTTCTCCCAAGGAAGAAGTCAGCCTAGCTCCCCCCTCAGCTGGCCTTTCTCTTAACCTTTATCCACCCACTCACACCTGCCCTTTAATCTTCTATAAAGATTTCTTTTTATAGCCTCTGGCCTTTTCCCCCTGCCCCACCTTCATTCTTCTAGGGCTGTTCCAACAGTGTGAA